TAAACAAGTTGTTGAACAAAAGTGAGATTTAGCTCTCTCAGCAAGGAGCTAAATCTCCACCTCAAAAATCAGTCCTTAAGAGAGATGAGCACTGCCTAAGGACCTGTACCTACGTTAATAACTTCAGGTTGAGCCTGATGCAAATTAACATAAGCATGAATTCAGTTATAAAAATCCATTTGAACATACAATATACTTGGACAGCCAAATACACTATATGTCCGTTGTTGAACCCCAAATAAGAATTTCAGACTGAATAATTGAGGCATGAGACCTACAATCAACAGTTTTGAGAAGCTGAGCACAAAACAGGATTAAACAACCTTCAACAACTGTCTAAACCTCAAATCATTGCAACGAACACAAATTCCTGAGAACTGATCCTAAATTTCCACCAGACAAGAGAGGGATTACTCTCGGGACATGATCAAGATAATCGATTCACAATTCAAACACATGATCACAGGAAAATATTGTCCAAACAAGAGATTAGGACTCAGATTTGAATAGCACGAAATCACACGTTCAATTATGAATCAAGAATTCAAACAATCCTCAATCATTAAAACTGTATCTCGAATTTGTAAACAAAAACAATGAAGTACCTATGGACAGCGTTCGAGGATCAAATTCTACGAACGTGATGACTCCTCTGTTCGGGTTCAGCGCCTGATCGGGAGGAGCGCTTAGTGATTGTGTGATGAATGATGATGATCGCGAGGTCCAGCTCGCCGGATTATGCCTGGTCGCCGGAATTACTCTCCCGGTTTACTCTTCGATCTCACCTTCCCTCTCTCTAGTTCCTTTTGTTGAAACACACTTTGTACGATAAACTAAAGTCGTGTTCATTTCTGACAGGTTTTGATAATTGCCAAACCGCCGTGGATATAAAGTGTTTTGTTGATTAACTCAAGGCGTTAAGAATGGCTTGGAACATGACCAAAAAGACTCAAGGACAAGATCAAGAATTGAAGACTTAGTTGAGTCGGTCTTTTGTGATCAAAACCGATAATCAATTCAAGTCTCGGTTCTCAAAGAGTCAAAATTATTTTACAATATCATAAAATGTTTTTATGCATCAAAATAAACATTTTAGATACACTTTTTTGTTAAAATCCTTGGTCCTTGCTCAGAACCAAAATCACCTAAGTCGGCGTACCGTGTTCGGCACTCGGTGTTCGGCGTTCGGTTTTTGGCGCCCGAACCAACTCGGTGGTTTTCAATGTTTTAAACCTCGCTTTTATCTCTGAGCATATTTTAAAGGTTCCCGAATAATTATTTTATAAAAACCACTTTTGTATCTTGGTCAATTGGTCTAACACGTGAAAAACGGTCAAAACCGTACGCACGTGATTTACGACCTTGAGGACTTGGTTTTTACCAAACAAGTCTTGTTTTCACTATTTTATACCATATACAATGTTTTTCGAAATTTGTTTTTACTTTTGGGAACACTTCTTTTTTTGGACCTCGGTTTTTCAAAACGGGTTTCAGCTGGCTAGACTTTAGCTGGGTGATAATCGATTATCACCTTAGTGACAATCGACTATCAGCCACTGCAGCTTTGAACTTCCAAAGTTCTGAAGCACGCAATAATCGATTATCAGCTTTGCAATAATCGATTATCAACCTTTGCAGCCAAAACCCAGAATCTTCTGAGAGGACCAATAATCGATTATCCCTTGTTGACAATCGATTATCTGGGTTACCGTTGTCCTCCAACGGATAGTTTTTTAAACTTTTGGACAGGGAATCTTTTAATAATCGATTATCATGTCTAGACAATCGATTATCACCCTGCAACTCTGAAAAATTTGTCTTCATCCTGTTGGAAAATCTAGCAACGGTTTTATCCCATTTTGGGCTATAAAATGGAACCCAAATCCTCTCATTTTACACACAATTCTTCAATATTTCAATACTCTTTCATTGCATAAGCATTCCTATTTTTCTTAGCTATTTGAGAGCCAAGTCTTGAAGAAATTGTCGTGTTCTTGAGCGTTTACTAGTTCACTCATATCTACTCTTTGTGAGAGTTTTATTCCTAAGTGTTTAAGTGTTTTCATACACTTTAAGGGAGGTTGTTCCCTTGTTGTAAACTCGAAGGAAGTTCCTTGTTCCTTCGTAAGAAGTCTTGGAGTGCGGTATCTCCGAGCAAAGGTGTTGAGGCTCGTGTGACTCGGGTTCTCAAGTTGTATCGGTTTGTTAATCACCCTTAAGCTTAACGGAGTTAGTGTAGCTCGAGAGAGTCTCTCGGGAGGCTGGATTAGCCACACGTTGTGGTGAACCAGGATAAAATTCGGTGTGTTCCTTCCTTACGCTCTTTACTTTAACGCTCTCGTTTTAATTTCCTGCGATTTTGTTTTAAACGCTATTCACCCCCCTCTAGCGTTGGGCCTTTATTCTAACAATTGGTATCGGAGCCTTACTCTCTGTAAGACTTAACCGTTTGAGAGAAACGATCAATGGCTTCTACTCAAAGTTCATACGCAGGTTTAGGTGAAGGGCAATCCACCACAAGGCCTCCGTTGTTTGACGGAACGAACTACACCTATTGGAAGGAGCGGATGAGGATTTAATTCTCCAAAGGATTTTCTCCTTTGGAGAATTATCAAGAATGGTGAAGACGTGCCAATGAAGAAGGTCGGGGAAACCAACGTTCCTAAGACCGAGAACGAGTATGATGCACAAGACATCAAGAAAGTGGAAAACAATGCCAAGGCCATTAATATCATCTATTGTTCCGTAAACCCGGATGACTACCGGAAGATATCTTGTTGCACCACCGCGAAGGAAATGAGGGATAAACTAGAAATCACCTACGAAGGTACGGAGTTCGGGCTTGTCATCAAGAAATTCCACAAGTTCAGTCGCAAGGAGTATGAACGAAAGGGTAAAAAGCATGGAGGACCACCCAAGTGCTATGGATGTGGAGAAGTTGGGCATATCAAGCCAAAATGCCCAAATGCCAAAAACGAGAAGGAGAAGAAACCGTTCAAGAAGCACCGAGCTTACATCTCGTGGGGAGGTGATTCCGGCGACGAATCATCGGAAGGTGAAGAAAATGAAAGCGCCAACCTTTGCCTCATGGCACACGAGGAACCACCGGAAGAGGTATGTACCACTTCTAAAGATTCTCATACTTTAGATGATGTACAAGAAGCTTTTAATGAACTCTATGATGAATATGTTAATGCTTCTAAAATTAACAAGGATTTAAAGAAACAACTCACTTCCATGGAGAAGGAGGTTGATAAATTATCAAAAGATAATGAAAAACTTAAAGAAGAAAATAAGTTTTTCGGAAAAAGAAGCGCTGACAAACCGGAGAGTTCAAAGTGTAGTTCTTGTACATCACTTAAAGAACAAGTTGCAAAACTTGAAGGAACCTTAAAGAAGTTTGGTGTTTCTCATAAAAATCTCAATGATGTTCTTGATAATTTGCAACTTACTAAACATGGCCTAGGTTTTGAAAATGGAACTAATAATAAAGAAAAAGTTGAGCAACCACCTAAACAACCTAAGGCTCAACCTAAGAAAACTAAAATGAACAATAATAGACAACCTACATCAACTAGGAACACTAGACCACCTAGAAAGAACATTAGGATAAACAGTAGTCAAGTTAGAGAACCTAGAAACCATTTTCCAAACATGCATAAACAAAATTTTTCTCAAACTAGGGTCAATCAATATAGAAAACCTAGTAACTATTATCAACCTAGGAGAATGCATAATCCAAATGTTATTTGTCATTGTTGCAATAGGGTAGGACATATAGCCCCGGTTTGTTTCACTAGGCATAGGCATTGCACTCAAACCCAATCACACTACCAACGTGCACCTAACGCCCAAGGACCCAAAAGGAATTGGGTACCTAAATCTTTTTAAATTGATTTGTAGGTGTGCTTGAAGGCATCAAGTGTACTTTGGTACCTTGATAGCGGATGCTCCAAGCACATGACCGGAGATGCATCCAAGTTTTTGCAAATCAAACCAACTAAAGGAGGAAACGTTGTC